AACCGGGACGAAATTTAAATTTTCGGGGTGAAAACGGACCCGAAAAAAAGAGGATCATGTGGCAAATTATGGACCAAGCATTGGGGGACTATAAAAAGGGAAAGAAAATCAGATTTTCTTCCCCAAATCGTTCATTTGTTATCCGATAGAAGAAGAGAGGGAAAAAGTGAGGATTTCTCCACTTTTCTCTACGATCTACAGCCTTGTGGTGCTCGAATCCACTCAGACCAAGAAGGAAAGTTGTTTCTCGCGTCGGGGGCTACGCAACCATATCAAAAACGAAGGCTTTCACTGAAGGTTTGGAAGACAAAATTTTGGGAGGGCTTGAATTTGAGCTCGGGCTAAATTCTTAAAGCTTCTTAACGTGTTGTTATGCTTAAAGAGATAGGGTTCCCTCCTACTTAGGTTTATTTTCTAAGGTAGGTTGATAGAATTATATATTACTTACCAATTGTTGAGAAATTGATAGAAATGGGTATTAGAAATGTTTTAAAATGAATTCCTAGATTGGAATTGATATGTGATAATTGTTTGTGTAATTCTATAGCATGTTATATGTTTACATTATTGTCTTGATGAGTTTCGTGTATTAATTGGATGATTATGTGATAACATGCTAGGAAATTGTGTAAATGAAACGGTGATTATATGCATGAGATATGGATTGTCATGGAATATGTATATATGTGATTAAATTTGCACATATGACATTCATTATATATGGGGCATGATATGAATATAGCAATGGTATATCACATTGCATTTGCACGGAAGCATCACAACCATGGGCATAAGACATGAGTGTGGGTATGAGTGTGTGCATGATTTAATCAAACACCATACTTGGTGGTTGATGGGTGGGCTCGGGAAAGTTGGATTAAAAATCTGACTGAGTCGCATGGTTGCATGAAAAACTTGTGTCGGGTATAACAAGTAGGGCTAAACTCTCCCTCGGGTGCAAGACCTAGCAACCTGGTTCATACACTCCCCTGAGGTGAAATTCCAAAAAAGTGTATAGATTTGCGGAACCTATAGTGCGACACCAAAACTCCGCTACCCAACAAAAATACAAGGATTTTGTTTTATAAAATACCTGGTTCGTACACCCTCCTAAAGTGAAATTCTGAAAAAGTGTACTTGTTTTATAAAATAGTCATTCGATGTGTAACATCCAACAATGACTTAGTTTTATAATCACATAACTTTATTTCAAAATGATCATTGAATGTAATTCATCAATGGCGAATTTCTCATACATTAGCATTGCATTGTGTGGTGGGAGTCTGTGAGGGTTCGGGTTGAGTTGCATGAGTGGGTACCATCTCATATCATGACATAACATATTAGATTCCAACATAGACTTGCTTAAATCTTGGTTGGAATGACTATTGCTTGCTAAATGTTGCATGTGAACATTGCATATACACTTAGGTTGGAGAGTAGCCTCTGTAAAAAATGCTCCACTACGCGTGACTCACCCTATACGGAAAAATATTTCAAGTGCGATGGTACGTTGGCAGAAGACTCTCACAAGGGGCCCCAAAGATGAAGAAAGACGAAATATGGCTTTATTTTGAGTTTTTGTAAATTATTATGAAAATTTCATTTGACATGTAAATTCATGTAAATAAATGTAATAAAATTAGTATGGACCATGTTTTATATGAAAAATCTCATTAAACATGTTTTGGATGGTGGCGAAATGGATTGAAATGAGTTGAGATTCAAAAACAGGTGAAACAGACAAAACTGGACAAAGCTTACCGGTATAGCCTACTGGTACAACTTTGTCCCATAGGAACCCTACCGGTAGAAATTGTCTAGTAGGCAAACCGTACTGGTATACCCTATCGGTAGGAATTTTTCAGTAAACTCACCCTATCGGTATGCCCTACCAGTAGAAATTTTCTAGTATGCTCACCCTATCGGTAGGCCTTCCAAAAATCTGAAATTTTAAAATTGTTTTGTCATGCGCCTGGGTCATGTGTCCTTCTCTCCTAATGATGTAAATAGACTATAATGGAATATGAAATGTGGTACATTGGACCACGATTTGATTAAATGATAAAATGTATACGGGTTACACTTGGGGTCATGATCCCGATTAAGAGGATGTTATTGATGTGATTTCAGGTTGTGCAACAATCACAGGTACTTCCACAGGTTGACAGGTGGTCAACGGTTGAAAAAAGACCCCCAGTTTTAGGAGTGTCATAAATACATATTTTTTGTTAAAATATATAAAAAAAATCATAATCATTGGACTGAAAATAAAATCATACAAACACTCTGGGCATTATAAGGGGTTTAACTAGATAGGGGCAACAATCCGCAACAAATAAGAAAACAAACAAACTACCCAAAAATCAAATAGGTCCAGCGACTAAAACAGGGAAAAAAAATATTTTGTAGCTATATTTCACTTTCTAAAAAGAAATGGTTAAAAAAACAAAAAATAGAATCTCATTTGAAAAGTTCGGACATTGTGGGGGTGTATTTCACCAGCGATTGAGAAATTAGAAGACTAAAATACCACAGATCGCAACCTTGACGTGGACAACAAATTTTACCCATTCATAAGCACGTACTTGTGTGTGGTTTGCAAAAAAAAGGGGTTTAGCAGCGTTGAAAGTGGCTAGAGATATACTAGCGTTCAGAATGGATATACCAGCATTCAACGTTCAGAGTGGCCAGGGTTTCACCATTGTTCACAGTGGTTAGGGTCTGAGCATCATTGAGGGAGACGACTGATGGTTTCAGTGTTGAGTGAATTGAGTGGATGGGGGCGAGTGGCTAGGGTTTTACCATTGTTCACATTGGTTAAGGTCTGAGCACCGTTGAGAGAAACGATTGATGGTTTCAGCATTGAGTGAATCGAGTGGGTAGGGGCGAGTGACTAGGGTTTCATCATCACTCACACGTTGGTTAGGGTCTGAACATCATTGAGGGAGGCGACTGATGGTTTCAGCGTTGAGTGAGTGACTAGGGTTTGTTGGTAGAAAGTTGACTTTTATATGGGGATACTATACATAAAGACATTTGTGTCACTTTAATTTCTTATACTGTCCTTTCATTTGTACTAGGAAGATAATACCACCGAGTATGTGGTATTCATTAATATCATGTACAAGACATTTATGACACTGTTCACAACGGGGTTGTATTACAACTTGAAAAATAATACTGGGTGTAAAACGCTAAATAAACAAAATATAAGGTGGCCCCCCACTTACTATTTTCTTCTATCTTACCATCTAATACCGTCTAATTCCTGAAACAAACATGCCCTAACAGTATTAAGGAGGTTAATGATTGAATTATCTTTCGGCCTTTTAATGTTAGTATGAGATTTGGCCACCAACGATTTTTTATTTTTTAATTTTATTATTTTTTTAAAAAAATTCTAATTTTAAATTTTTTTTCTCACATTATATTTAAGTGTATAGTGTCACTTTTTTAAAAAAAAATTATTTTAATTTTTTTTTCTTGTATTATGTTTAAGTGTATAATGTCATCGATTTTTTTTTTAATTTTTAAAAAATTATTTTGAATTTTTTCTTTCTATTATGTTCACCGGTTTTTTTTTTAATTTTTTTTAAAAAATTATTTTAAATTTTTTCCTTATATTGTCAGTGTTTTTTTTTTAATTTTAAAAAAAAAAATTTAATTTTTTTTCTTGTATGTTTAAGCGTACGGATTGCTATACTATGTATTATACCAAACATTATACAAAAGCGTTACACAAATGAAATAATGGAATTGATGTGATTTAATAAATGGTTGTTTATGAGATCCACCATAATACCGATTGAACTAACAAACATGGAAGGAGATTAGAATACTTTCTATTGTTGATACTAATGAGCAATGTTACATAAATTTAAAAATTAGACTTAAAAACTAGATTTGATAATCTCAACCATTGATTTCAATATGGGTTCCAGCAGTTATTGAGACCTACTACTTATTTAATGGTTAGATTATCAAATCTAATTTTTAAGTCCATGTAACATAACTCGATACTAATTTCCATTGGTATTGAAAATATAATGAATACATTTCTCAATACCATATATACATATCCTCAAAACAAACAAGCCCCAAATGTACTCTTGAGTCCTAACATTTGAACTTATTTATGTTTAAATTTTTGTACCCAAGTTGCATAACTCTTGATCGAAATTTGTTTTTAGTTTTCATTTTGATAGTGAGTTCGATTCAAATGTTAATTTTGAATTAAAAACTCAAATTTTAATTCAAATCGAGGTTTTGATTCAATTCGGGTTTTGTCAAATTTACTAATAAGTCATTTCATTATTTTTTAGATTCAACCTTAGGATTAAACCTTTTAGTCCTAAAGTTATTCTGGTTAGATTTAGTTTGATTCATTAAAATTGCACCTCTCATCATGTAGAAGTCATACCTACAGGACTAATAATCGAGTCAAGTTACTCAAATTTTACTCAAATTCGGCTCGTTTAAGCTTGGTTCAGACTTGTCTCATTTTTTTAATGAGTTGAACTTAAATAATTTTTAAACTTATTTAGACAAATGAACTCGACGGACTTGGCTCGAGACTCAAGTTTTGCAGTTAATTATTTGTATAGAGGGAGAAATTGATAGTAAGAATAGATTAAATTGTCTATTATTGAAATATTATTCAGACTCATATTAGATACCTAACATGATGAAATAGAATTTTATTAAGTTGATTTGAGTTATCGAAACATTGTTACTTTGAATGGTAATAAATGTGGTCAATAAATTTTTGCTTCAAGTAAACATTGTTATTTAATATAATATTGAACTTATTAAATAAGCAAAAAGAAAAGCTTACTAAAAACTGTGTTTCTTTAATTCAATTTTTGTGTAATCAAAGAAGAGTAAAACCCATTAATAACCCTCTTTCAGAGGAGAAAAAAACCTATAAATTGCTGAAAACAAGATTTCTCTAACCCTAACTACATTCAGACTAGTTACTCAAACTAAAACCTAAAACCCTAAACTGAACCATGAAAGCTAACTTGAACTGGAAATGAGACAACATCATCTCCGATCACAATGGAGTGTCCACCGGCCGGCAATAGACGGTAAGCCGTGTAGTCAACAATTCCCAAGCTCTTGCAAGCATTCAAGTCGAACTTAACCTTTTCGCTCCCTCCAGCTGGGACAAACACTTTTTGGAAACCAATCAACTGCTTCAATGGAGCTCCGATGATCCCGGCGGGAGGAGTCCAGTACACCATGACAACCTCACTGCCATCTCTTTTTCCGATGTTCTGAACTTCGACCTCGAACTCAAAATGATCGTCGCAGCTCAGGTCGTCGATGAGAACTGCCGGGCATGGTGGCCGGAAAGCGTCTTCGGTGTAGGTGATGTCCCGGCAGTGTTGGAACTTGTTGAGCTCTATGTGGAGTGATCTCTGTGCGCTTGTGAGCTTGTAGGTGAAATTTGTGTAGCTGAGACCATACCCGAATGGATAAACTGTGGAGCCATTGAAGAATTTGTATGTTCTACCAGGGTAGGATAAGCTGTCAATTGGCCTCAGGGGTAAGGAGGTCATTGGAAGCATATCTACATAATTGCTTTCATACCAGGTTAGAGGCAATCTTCCACCTGCAATATAGTAAGCCCACGTCAATGACAGATCAGATCAGTGTAAACAACACAAAAACCTACTACTACTAGGATATTGATAAGTTGTCTCTCATTGTGTTTTTTTAATATTCTAAGTAGTTTCGTGTTAAAAATTACTCAACACATACTCAAACGATATAGTTAGGTTTTTGTTGCGTATAAACTCATAGCAATTGCAGACCATCATGAACAAAATAAAAAACAAAAGTAGGGTAGCCTATTTTCAAACCATGTAAGTGGTGTCGTGTTAAAAATTAGTCAATTCATACTAGAACCTCAGTTTTGAGTCATGTTTAGCCGAATTTGTGTTGTGTTTAATTAGATTTGTGTCGATTAAGTTATTGTTAGGTATGACATATCTATTCGTGCAATACTCGAACGAACCTGCTATACTAAACCCATTTTGTGTCATATTTGTGGGTCATTTGAATGTTATGAATGCATTGGTTAGGTGATAAAAATCAAATTGCTTACCTGGGTTATAACTCCCAAAAACAACATCTGCAATAGCTCTGCCACCTTCTTCACCAGGGTACCCAGCCCAGAGGATAGCTTTGATGTTTGGATCATTCTTAGCAAAAGAAATATCAACCCCACCAGCAGACATGACCACAAGGACCACAGGACCTTTGGAAGCTGCAGCAACTTGGCTGATGAGTTGTGTTTGGTAACCAGGTAGAAGAAGGTCCACTCTGTCTAAGCTCTCAGCCTCAACAGTCAAATCAATGCCCACTACAAGTATGGTAGCATCTGCTTTCTTTGCAGCTTTCATGGCTGGGAAAATTAGAGTATCATTCTTGCATGCAACATCAGAACAACCCATTTCATGTATCACCCTCCCATATGCAGAGAATCCATCAATGGGGGTTGTGTATTGGCATGGAACACCTGGAACAAATTGCAACCAGTTAGTCTATTTAGTTACTACTAAAGTTACTAGGGTCTGAACGACTCAATCTAGTGAAGTTATGACAGAATGGAGTTACTTGAAATCAATCATAACAAGTTAAAATCAAAATTTTTGTATATCATAACTTAACCTGGTTGAGTTGCAACTATTATTTACCTGCATAATTTCCAATCATCACGGTGGTGGCATTGGCATGAGGTCCAACCACTGCTACTGTCTTAAACTTGTGATGGTTCAGAGGCAAAGTTTCATCATCATTCTTCAAGAGAACAATGCCTTCTCTTGCAGCCTCGGTTGCTAACCGAATGTGTTCAAGAGAACACACATTTTCGCTTCCAAGAGAACTAAATTTAGGGCTGCCATCGAAAAAACCAAGCCTCATGAGTACAAAATAGAGGTTTTTAAGTGCCTTGTCTATTTCTGCCTCCCTAACTTTCCCTCGCACCACTGCACTCTGTGTGTAATTTGAGTAAAAAAATCCACAGTCCAAATCCAAGCCTGAGGCAACAAAGACAAATTATATCAAACAATTGACATTAAACATCAATAAAATCCCAACAAAATGAAGAACCAGCCAACCACGCAACTAGGAGATGCCTCCACAGGTGTATGTAGTGTTGTGAGCAATCCCTCGGGTTATAAGGGAAATCTAGTTGTCTTTGTCTACTTGCATCGAACATTTGGCATAAAAATGAAACAAAAAGCTGAAAATTTTTAGAAAAGAAATGGACTAGCCTGCTTTTAAGGCTTGTGAAACAGCATCTTCTGGTTCATCATTAAGCCATTTCTGATTATCAAGCATGACCTCAATAGAATCACAGTCTGAGACTATGTACCTGCAAAAACAAAAAAAAAACAACAAATCAGTGGTTATTGGTTCGAGTTTCAAAGTATCAACATAAGTATGTTTTGCACTTTTGGCAATCAAGTTAGTGTAATTATATTCAGTACCCATGAAGATCCCATTCTCCTCTGATTGTATCTTTTAGAAGCTTTGGATCAGCACAAGCGGGGATGCCATTGACACGGTTATAAGAGCACATCACACTAGTGACATCTCCGTCTTTCACACACATTTCAAAAGGTCTTAGGAAAGTTTCCACCATATCTTGCTCAGTCACCTTTACAACACCAAAAAGTAAAAATAATAATTCTGGCAACCAGTCATATTATGGTAAAAACTCTATCATCAACACTGAATCAAAGTTTCTTTAGTGATCAACGTATTATACCCATGAATCAACATGATAACGATTAAACATTGTTACATTTACAATGACTGTTACCGTTATTTAAAAATTTAAAAACTATAGTTGGACCTTTGGATCAACATTTCTGTAGGGATTGATGTAACGTACCCGAGAATCAAAGTGGTAGCGATCGACTCCGAGCCAATTATCAACATCATAGGCTGCATAATGCTTACAGCATGCAGCAACCTTGAGAGGTCTATGGTTCAAGTCTGTTGTGTTCTCAGTCCCTTCAACATCTTGCAAGCCCCTAACATAGTTGACAGCATACCTCCCAACAACATATGGATCTTCACCTGGTGTCTCTAGGGCTCTTCCCCATCTAGGGTCTCTTACAACATTGATATTAGGGCTCCAATATGTTAATCCAGCATGCCCTAGATTGTGCATGGCCCTTGCTTCTGTTGAAACAGCCTGAAATTGTAATAGAACTTGGTCAGTAAATTGCTTTGGAGTACTTTTCAAATCAGCAAAAGGTAGTAGATAATATTATTCATTACATCTGCATGCATATATCCATGTATGTGTGTTTGTGCAGGTCTATTATAGAGTCGTGGGAGAGAAAGAAAATACTATTTGAATTTAAAATAATATCTTAATTTGTTAACTTATCAATCACAATCATTGAATAGATTCACCTCGCCAATGGTTTTCCACATGGATTCATTGAAAGAAGCAGTGGTGAGAATAACAGTAGGAAAGCTGGTTGCTCCAGGAACAACATCATCAAAGAAGCTAGCTACGCTCCCCTGCTGGCCAACGTTCGACACGCCGTGCAAAGCCTCCGACCACCACTCGTACTTGGGCAGTCCAATCCTCGCCACCCCGAGAGCGGTGTCCCCAATCTGCTGCACCTTCTCCGCCAATGTCATCCTGTCAATCAAGTCCTTAACCCTAATCTCATATGAGAGAGAAGAGTCGCAGAAGGCAAAGTCCTTCATGTCCAGCCCAAGGTCTGCAAACCTTGAAGCATCACAGACATGGGTGTAGTTCCTTGTGGGCTTGAAGACGCCATTGTCGAGACCTAAGGTAGAGCTTGTGAGCTTTTTTGAGGCGACATTTCTGGCAGAAGCAGAGAGGACTAAGAGAGAAAGAGTGAAAAAGAGAAGAAAACTGAGCTTGGCCATGGCTTCTATGATATTATGGAGAATTTTTTATGTGGTTGAATAGAAGGGACTGTATGTGTTTATATAGTGGAATTTATCATATTTTTCTCTAAATGGTTCATATCCAATCTTTCTGTTGTTATCTAACTCGAATTCTGTTGAGCTACTGATTCTTTGGAAAAAATCTCTCTTTACATTATCCAAGGTGGATATAGTAAATCTCTCTCAAAATCTTAGATTTCTTGTACACTATTTTCTAATTTTATTCACCGAACAAATTAAAATTATAAATTTAAATAAGACATATTATATATAAATGAATCTTCCAGTAATAAACAATAATCAATTGATCCGGTCGTATTATCATATTGAAAAGTAATTTTGCAATACTATCTCTCTTTTTTAACATTTAATGAGAAAGAGACGCATGTAGAATTTTTTTTTTTTATTATTTGACATGATTTTAGTAATTTTAAGCAATAAATGTAAATAAATCAGCAAAAAATCTGTGGCCATAAATTTTTTCGGGTATGGTATCGATATTTCTTTTGGTATGACAGATATCGGTATCATAGCCTCATCTTGAGCGATCTAGTATTGTGAAAAAAATTGTATCTAGTATTGTGAAAAAAATTGTAGTGGATGGAATATGGATCCAATATGATTTTAATATTTTCTTGAGTTGCTTGAACTTCATGTTATCATTGTTTTGGTCATATTAATACAATTATGTTCATAATTTACTACAAAAATTTAGGATCAGGCAGATTGAATTATAGTCCTAGCAAGATTGAATGACATGTTTGTGATAAAAATGTAGATAGACATACTCGAGTTTGTGTCCCACCGAGGCTAGAAGCTTTATTACCTTTAATCTATATCCAAACCTGTCTACCTAAAAATTCTCTCATCAGATAACTTTAATCAACGAGGAACCCAACAAAATTAAAATAAATAATTTTCAAAATGAATTTCCCAAAGTATCATATTCAAGCCATTTTTAAATGCGCTAACAACGCAAGATTTATATATATATATATGAAACAATGCTTGATTTGGTTCTAGCACATTTTTGACATGGACCTATACATGGCGTTCAAAATCCATCTTAAAATAAATGAATTAGAAAAGTACGAATAAGTAAGAAAATGAGATGACTCTTTATCGAATTATATTATAAACATATGTCAACAAGGATTTTGCCAAGTTAAAAACAAAATTGTGGAATATGAAAAAGAGGTGACTAAATTAACATGCAAGTAAAATTTGGAAAGAGGTCGCTTGTTGTTGGGTAACACCTTTAAAAAAATAGATAATTTTATAAAAAAAGTAAAAATATGGTAATTACTATTTTGCATAAGTGATACAGATAAGAACAATATCTAGATGTATCTTAGTACATGAATTATATCTTTCATATACGTACCTTTGATATTTTTTTATATGTGATTATATATATAATTAGAAAAAGTGAGTAAGTCCAAGAAAAAAATTCAAATGGAAAAATATAAAAACAAATGCTGTTAAAAAATTTCCTGAAAGAACACAAAAAGATTTGGATGAAATTTTTTTGTTACATATTATAGGGAATTTTTTATCCTTGCATACGAATTTGATCCAAATATGTTTATTCCTCGCTAAAAAATATACTTAATGATAAAATTATAGAATATATTTGCTATAAATTCGGATCGGATTAACTAATGAATCCGATGCCCAAACACCTAGAAGTTCGTATTTGGGTGATTTTTGCCAAATTCCACGAATAAATGGTCGGAGTTTATGGTTGGATGGGAACAGAAAAGGCTTTGATCCATTTCCAATCCATTGGCACTTTGATAATTTAGACTAACAAGACATCATGACCAGTTGGTCTCTTCGGATATGAGCTCAACCACCTCTTGTAGTCCACCTAAAGTAGAGTATTGCGTTTGACCAGCATTAATAATCGAGTTATTCGATGTCTTTGGTTTAGGTATTGAGCTTGAATATTTTTTAGGCTCATTTAAAAAAATGAGCTCGATAAACTTAATTCATTTATATGTAAATACTCGAGCTTGACTCGAGTTTTGCTCGTTTTAAGTTTGATTCAGACTCGACTCATTTTTTAAATGAATCGAGAAAATTAGTTGAACATGAACACTTTTTTAAACTCGTTTAAAAAAAACGAGCTCGTCATACTCGATTCAATTATCATCCCTACATTTGACCCATTTTTTTAATTATTTTTTTTTAAGCTAAAGTTTGGAATTGGACTGTTAACAATGGATTGATATCATCTAGGTCATAGGTTTTGAATCGGACTCAAATCCCTTCTAATACTTTCTCTTTCAATTTTTTTGTAGATTATACATGTTATATTAACTCACTTTTATTTAATGAGTCTCACTTTAATTCATGACATGTGATTTACTATGAAAAAAAATAGAGATAAAATGTATTAGATGGAATTTCATGTCATTCTGTTCGGAAAATATAAATAATTACACAATTGGCCCTTTAGATTTGCATTTATTATATTTTGTCCCATGTAATATTTGACATTATGGAGAACCCCTTGGGATTTCTCATCATTTTACAGTTAATTACCTCACTCAAATTGATCGTCTGTTCTTAACCAAGTTTTGTTGGTGATAATGTAAGAACTTAGAAGCGTGATATTAGTGATTGAACTAAGGAACTCAAGGCTTAGGAACAATGGTGTGTGAATGAACAATGAGAGAGAGATCAATGCGTGATTGAGCTCGATGGCTCTGTAAATTGCTATAGTAAATGCAAAATAGAGATAAAAGATAAAGAACGAAGAAGAACATACAAAGTGTAGTGGTTCACAAGCTGACGAGCTTGAATAATCTATTATAATGGAGTCTCTTGCTCCTTGAGAGGTTTTCTATTGTGTGGGGGAAGAAAGATAACAATTAGCGTCTATGTACATGGGTGGTTGACCTTGTATTTATACCACACAGATGAGGTGATCCTCACATTATCACCACATGGTCCCTAGTTTGTTAGGAGAATATTTAGCCATTTATACCCTAGGTGTGACGTGACCCTCTAGAACACGATGAGACAACCTTGAGACCCTTCTCTGAGTTTGGATATATTGTGATCCTTTTTCATCTCTCAAAGGTTGTACTATTTGGGATGACCTTTTATTCTTTTGGTCAGCTCATGACTAAGGAACTCGATCTATGCTCATGACCTGTACTGGAAAAGCTGAACTCCTCATGAGATGAGATGGATGACCTGATCATTCCTGTCTGAGGTCAAACCTGTACTAGTTGTCCACCTAGACTTGAGGTTTACGTATGCAACTAGAGATGAGGGGTCAATCTTGTTATTCAACCTTGTTGTAGTTGAGATATAGAGATATTCTTCTGCTTATTTCTAGGTATATTTTGGGTATCATCAGTTACGAGCTCATGGTGGTTTGGTCTACCTTCCTTTTCTAGATGTAGGTTACGACTGAGTTGCAATGCTCTTGAAGCATCGTGTCTTGTCGAGACGAGCTCATGGTGCTTTGGTCAGTTGAAAGTATGCGACAAGACAACTTACCTAAGATTACAGTGTCATGTAGGTGTAGGACGTAGGAGGCACCTTGTTTTTCAAACAGTGCCACTCATTTTGTGCCACATGGAACGACGTGTGGTGCATTTAATGCCACACCAAAGTTTCCCTTATTTAAACCCTTCAAAAATTCAAACTTTTACTTTACCAAATTTCTTCTTAAAAAATCCAACTGTATCTTTCTTCTCCAAATCCTCTTTGTGATCCTTAGAGAGTTCAAGTGAGTCTTGAGAGAAATCGATTGAAGTTGTGGGCGACTTAGGAGATCTTGGGCTACGGTTTCTTGTTGTCTAGTGTTTATCTCATCGGTGTTTAGGTTGTTCATCTTCTTCTAGCCACCACCATCTTCTAGGAAAGTTTTTCTTCCCTTTGACTTCTTTGCATCAACCTTGGATCGCTTCGATCCTTGGTGGTTGTCTTGGGGTCTTCACTTTCTAGTTCTTTATTTTTGCTATTGTAGGGCCTTAGGTAGGTCTTTGACAACCCTTCCCCACTTCTTAGACAATTTTGCCGCAGCTAGGGTTTTTCTACTCAAGCTTTGGTGCTTCGACCCTTGTGCCATTGAGGATAACTCTCTAAATATCTCTCATCCGTTTTAATCTAGGTTAGACTCCTTCGTGTCCCTAACCTTAAATATGTTTGGGACTTCTTCTACTACTAGGTCTTCCATCTCTTGTATGAGGAGAGTTCTTCTCGACACGAGGCTCCTCTCTTACTCAAGAATGTGCCTGAGAAGGGAATCCCTGGCTGAGGTAAGAGGAAACGGACCCTCAAGAAAAGGGTTTCCAAATCTTCCCAAACCTCTCCTTCTGAAGAGGTCAGGACCTTGGGCAAGATTGAAACTTGCAGAGGCCATCTTCGACTTCGAACTCGAGCCATATTACCGAGCTTAGGCTATAGTCTTTGGTTGATCATCATCAATTCCATGCATTGTGGCTTACCCTCCTTCGAATGTTGAATGCTATAATGCCTTCCTAACTAGAAACACTTGCTTCTTTGTCTCGGCCTTTGAGTCAAGACTTAGGTTTACTATGCATCCTTTCCTCAAAGTTGTCCTCAGATTCTTTAATATTTGTCCCTCAAGGATGTCCCCTAATTTTTAGGGAACCTTGGTTGGCCTCATAATCTTCTAGAGGGAAAACGAATTAGGTCAAGCTCCTTTTATGGCCTAGCTTGTCCATTTTTTCAACCTTAAGTGCTCATCCGTAGATGGCTTATTCTACATCTCCAAGNTGTCCTCAGATTCTTTAATATTTGTCCCTCAAGGATGTCCCCTAATTTCTAGGGAACCTTGGTTGGCCTCATAATCTTCTAGAGGGAAAACAAATTAGGTCAAGCTCCTTCTATAGCCTAGCTCGTCCATTTTTTCAACCTTAAGTGCTCATCCGTAGATGGCTTATTCTACATCTCCAAGCGTGTCAAGGCCAAGGCCTTAGTCGTAAATGCCCCTTCTTTCCATAAGACTTGGAAGGAGCACTTCTTCTAAATATCTGGCGATGCTTAGGAGGTAGACCCAAATGATGCTTCTGACGTTCTCTGTGTTCCTCAACTCCGGGGAAAACCTCAAAACTTGGGTGAGTGTCAAGCTTCCAACATACCCTATTCCTTTTTAGTTTTGATTGTTCTTATTGTTTTTTCCTTGAATTTACAGGATATCAGCCCGAGCTGCACCCTTCTGAGAAGCTTAGGGTTGTAAGGNGAGCTTCCAACATACCCTATTCCTTTTTAGGTTTGATTGTTCTTATTGTTTTTTCCTCGAATTTACAGGATATCAGCCCGAGCTGCACCCTTCTGAGAAGCTTAGGGTTGTAAGGGTTGAGAAAGTTTCAAGGAGCTCGTGGCTTTAGAGAACCTAGCAAGGTATGACCTTGGCCCTTTAGTTATTGAAAAGCTTCTAACTCTAGCTCCTTCTCCTTCCTTTCCATGGACAAAGTCTTTCTTTTTTAAGACAACTGAAATCCTGCTAGTCAGTGTTCCAACAGCTAGTTTTTTTTTTTTTTGNAGAACCTAGCAAGGTACGACCTTGGCCCTCTAGTTATTGAAAAGCTTCTAACTCTAGCTCCTTCTCCTTCTGACCCTTCCATGGACAAAGTCTTTCTTTTTTAAGACAACTAAAATCCTGCTAGTCAGTGTTCCAACACCTAGTTTTTTTTTTTTTTGCTTTCTATTTCCTCATTTATTTTTCCTGGTCGCGATATGTTTCCCCTTTCCATACCTTGATCCTTTAGTACTTGAGCTAAATGCTATGTAGGATGTCATCGCTACAAGGAGAGAGAAGTAGGGACGTCTGATCAAGCCTTTGTACCTCGACTTTCTCCTTAAAGCTAAAGCTCGTTGAGTTGAGGTGGTGAACACACCCAACGTTCCCTCTACTCCAATCTAGGTGCTTAGGCCACACTTCATTGGGAAGGAAATCTTTCAACTACTGATCCTCCTCAAAGAACTTCTATAGAGCCCGATGTGCCTCCTTCCACTTCTCTAGTGACTTCAGGGGTAGCCTCTCCTATTCTAAGGTTGGCATCAATCCTTCTAGCTGTAGATGAGAGTTCCCTTTTCTCCAATACTGCTCTGGCAACCACCAAGATGTTGAGCATTCTACCCCAAGCAAACATACTCAAGTCTGTAGCACTTAGTGCAAATGATGAGGCTACAAATGCCTCTTGATGGTCTTGTCCCGGTATTAGCTTCGTCTTAAAATTTCTTTGAGCTTTTGTTTTTTATCCCTTATTTTTTACTTAGAGTTTATTTTATGTGGGCTGCTATTCACATTAGTACTCTACTTGGCCAAGTTCAAAAGTTTCAGAAGTCAATAGAAGAGCTCAAGGTTGGTCTGACTACTGCTCACAAGAAGCAAGATGGATAGGGCTCCCAAATCGACCAGTCCAGATCTACAAAAAGAGCTCTTAAATATAAGCTAAAGCTTAGGGAGGCAAAGCTCGACAAGATAGTTAGAGCTATAAATTATGCCAAGCTCGAGAAGGAGGCTGCTGAGCTGAAGTTGAAGCTTGTTGAATTAGAGTCAACTATGGCAGCAACGGATCAGATCATCAAAGACTTGAAAACTAAGTGCATTATGAACTACGCTAAGGGTTGTGAGGACTTTAGGGACTAGGCCAAAGAGAAATTTGTTGATCTCCACTTCGACTCCTTTGTGCCTCCTCTTTCTGATGAGAATGCTGAGAAAACTAGAGAGGGTCAAGCTAAGGGAGTTCCTGAGTGGAAGACCTCTAGCACTAAGTTCGATCCTAATGATCCACATTCTACTATTGCTCATACAATGCTGGGCAGGGCTGAGCAGTAGATTGGATGAGTAGATCTAGTCAATTGAAGGGTTGACCTTCCTCGTCATCAATAACTTTTTTATGCTTTCCTTTGGATTTTGCAGTTCTATAACTCTTTGCTTTTTAAAAAAAATACTAAACTTCTTTTACTTCTTCCTTTTCTTGCAATGGAATATGAACTTTCTTTTCCTCTTTTTTTTTTTTGTGTGTGTGTGCAAGAATATAAGTATATCCCTGCCCCCCTTCACTTGTTGGAAGGTAGTAGTAGCCTTGTAATAGTGATGATTCTTTTCAATTTTGGTGACTAAGTCCTAGCTCTAGGTGGCTCTTTGGACTTAGTGACTTAAAACTCAGTTTGATTTACGAGATCTGAGGAGCTCTATAAGCTAAAGAACTTATCTTATGTATAAGCTAAAAAGCTATATAAACTAAAGATCTTATCTTTTATAGAATCTGAAGAGCTCTCTAAGCTGAAAAACATATCTCATGTATGAGCTGAAGAGCTCATATTTAGTACAAGCTGAAAAGCTCTATAAGCTGAACAACTTATCTCATGTATAAGCTGAATAGCTCATCTCATGTATGAGCTGAAAAGATCTACAAGCTAAAAAGCTTATCTCAAGTATGAGCTTAAGTGCTGATATTTAGTACGAGCTTAAAAGCTTTATAAGCTAAACAACTCATCTTTTGTGTGAGCTGAAAAGTTTATCTCATGTATGAGTTAAAATATCATATTTAGCACAATCTTAAAAGTTTTATGAGCTGAAGAGTTTATCTTTCGTATGAGTTGAAGAACTCTATTTAGTAGACAAGCTTAGAAGCTTTGTTTGTACTCAACACTTAGGAATTTTTTGCGTACTCAAGAATTTTTGTGTCAAGATTTTGTTAAATTTTATTTATCTCAAATATTCACAACTATCCTATGATAACAGGTGTTTCACAAAGTACAAAAGTAAAGGTATCCAACCTATTGTTATCATTGGTAGAACTTCTTCAGGTGATCTACGTTCCACGAGTGTGCTAGGTCTATCCCTTCTTCAGTCTACAACTCATAAATGCTAGGTCTGACAATTATTTTTAATATGTAATGTTCTTCCTAGTTAGGGCCTAGCTTTCCATGGCTTGGATCTTTTCGGGCAGGTAATTGCTTCTTTAAAACGAGGTCCCCTGCCTTGAAGCTTCTTCCCCTAACCTTTTGATTGTAATAATGCGTTGTTATTTTTTGATAAGCAGAGATCCTTTGCAACACCTTATTCCTTTTTTCATCAAAGAGATCGAGGTTCACCAGCAAAGCTCGGCCATTCTGGTCAGGATTGAAGAATTTAGCTCTTAGAGAGAGAAACTTGATCTCTACTAGTGCTACTACCTCTGAAGGGAGTTGTTTTGGTTGTTCGAGTTGTCATTCTGTATGCCCAAAATACACTAGGGAGGTGGTCGACCCATTGGCCCTTTGAAGCTTCCAGATTGGTCTTCAGTGTCTTGAAAACTATTCATATGTTGACCTTTACTTGACCATTAGACTAGGGATGAGCTAGAGCTGAGAAATAATTATTTATGCCAAGCTCTGAGCAGAAGTTTGTGATGGTTGAGTTCTCAAACTATTTGTCGTTATCAAATTCAATAGCCCTAGGGATTCCAAACCTGCACACTATAGATTTCCAAACAAAGTTTCTAATTTTATGCTCGGTAATAATTGCCAGCTACTTGACTGCGACCCATTTTCTGAAGTAATCTATCTTTACTATGAGAAACTTGCACTATTCCATTCAAATGGGAAGAGGTCCCACTATGTCAATCCTTTATTGTTGAAAAGGCACGAGCTCAATATTGGCATGAGTTGTTCTGGTGGGCAATGAGAGATGTTTGAATGCAACTAGTAGGTTTTGCACTTCTTGACCTTTTCCTTCAAATCTTTCATCAAGGTGGGTCAAAAGTATGAGCTTCTATGTGATTTTCACAAATGTCTTCATGAATCTCTCTTAGCACATAATTGGCTTCCTCAATTGCCACACACTTCAGGAGGGGTGTAGAGAATCCTCTTTTATAGAGCTTCCCCTGGATCATCATAAACCTTGACAATCTACTTCGTAACTAGGCTGTTTCTTTTGGATTTTGGGGAAGAACTCCATCCTGTAAAGCGGATGAAGGGGTCCATCTAGCACGATGTAATGTCCACTGGTAGGATCCCCTCCTTATCTTGGTCAAGGTGGATACTTGGTTCCTTTAGGTGTTCTATAGGAATGACTCTATCGATAATTTGGCTAAGGCATCAGCTCAAGCGTTTAGCTCGGGGTACTTGGATGACTTTTGTATGGATAAACTTTCTCAAAAGATCTTGTACCACTTTCAAATATAAAGACATCTTGTCCTCCCTTGCCTCATATTCTGACTAAATTTGTCTTACCAAGAGCTGAGAGTCATTGTGGATTAGGAGTTGGTGTGTTTCCATGTAGAACACCAGCATAAGTCCAGCTATCAAAGCCTTATACTCAAATCCATTGTTAGAGGCTTTGAAATCAAACTGAGAGATTACTACAGGTTGATCCCTTCTGGCAAGGTCAGGGTGAGGTTTGCTCCGCTTCCTTGTGCATTAGAGGCACCATGAACAAAGAACTTCACTGAAAGGTTAGGTACGAAACCTTACCTCTCTTGGTTCATTTCAGGCTTGAGGGTTGAGGTGAATTTAGCTATGAAGGCAACCAGGATTTTCTCAGGCAACAAAGCACCTGAGTTGCCCCCTCTATATTAGAAACTTAATTTCCTTCTTAAGCTAGATGCAGTCGTCATTATCATGTCCATGATCTTGGTGGAAGTTATAGTACTTGGTATGATCTATCTTACAAGGATCAAACTTTATCTTGGATAGCCATTTGACATACCTCTAGTTCTAAACCTGATGTAACACCAGAACTACCGAGGTGTTGAGTGGAGTGAATCGCTCAAGTGCATATCGAGGTTGTAGATTTGGTTTGGGGTCCCAAATGATCTCTTACATCTCCCTACTTCTTGGGAGATCAATCTCTTTTTCTCTAGGTTGAACGGACTCACTCTCGACTTTGTTCTCAACTTTTTTTAGGGCTAGACTCCTTTTTTTTTATTCTACTCGGGGGGTGGTTGATGAGCCACCCTTTGAAAGGAAAGCCTCATCCCCATTAATATACTTCTTATTCTTCACCAGCACCTTAGCCATGGTAACGAGAAGGTTTTCTTAGATTAAAGACCTAGACAAACCGTGAAGGTTATCAAGGCGACCTTTTCATCCAGCTAGTCCACCCTAAGAGATTCTTGATTGAATCTCTTCACATAGCTTCTCAAGGACTCACCAGGCTTTGGCTTAACAGTCAACAAGTGGTAAATGGGTTTCATGTACGTCCTCACCTCAATGAAATAAGAGATGAATTGCACCTAGAACTCTTTAAAGGATGAAATTGAAGCTGGCGCCAATCTATTGAACAAGGCAAGAGCTAAGCCCTTTAGTGTGATGACGAAGGCTTGACAACGAATAAGGTCTTGATACCTGTGGAGTTCTATTCGATTTTTGTATGAGTTGAGATGGTCCACGGGATCCATAGTACCATCAAATGCCCTCTCATTTATGAAGGACGACTCATTTTGCTAAACCTGGGCTTTCATGGTGACAAGACCTAATTTTTCATGAAAGCATTCTTCCCAAAATTGATTATATCAATTAGAATGGAATAAGGAACAAATTTATTTGATCATCTCAATGTTTTCAATAAAATTATTACTGAGCTAATTAATGTTGAGGTGATAGAAGGAGAAGAGTATAAGACTATTGTTCTCTTGACTTCTCTACCACACTCTTATAATGCACTTGTGACTACACTTTTGGTTGGAAAAAAATACTCTCAATGTTGATGTGGTGACAAGTATTTTTTTTGGAGACTGGGCATTCAAGAAACCGGGAAATAGTTCTTAAGCAGAAGGGTTGGTAGCCAAAAGTGAATTGAGTCAACAATGCATAATGATCNGCCGAGAAATAGTTCTCAAGCAGAAGGGTTGGTGGCCAAAAGTGAATTGAGTCAACAATGCATAATGATCAACCAAAAGGACCCTAGAAATAGAGGGAGGTCTCACTCCAAATCAAGAGGGAGATGCAGCGGAAAATAAAAGTGCTACTATTGCCACAAGAAAGGGCACTTGAGAAGGGTTTGTAATCAACGAAAGCGAGATATAGAGGAAAAAGAAAAATCTCCTAATTCAGATCAAATAGGCATTGCACGTACAAGATAGCTCGAACAGAAACGAAGATTTATTATAGGTCACCACAGGTATGAATTATCTTATTGACACATGGACTTTGGATTCATGATATTCTTATCCCATCTGTCCTTATAGGGAATGGTTTGATACTTATAGACCCTATAATAGAGGAACAATTCTAATGGGGAATGATTCAGTTTCCAAGACCATTGGAATTGGGACCATTAAAATCAAAATGGTTGATGATATGGTAAGAACACTAGGTGATGTGTAGCATGTCCCTGATCTTAAAAAGATTTTAATTTCCTTGGGTACACTCGATTCTAATGGTTTTGTCTTTATGACAATGGGTGGGTCCTAAAATCTATAAAAATGGGTCATGGTTGTCATAAAAGGGAAACAACAAGGAAATTTAAATACACTGGCAAGGAGCATAGTTACAGGTGGAGTAGCTTTGACCACTCCTTTGGATCTGGGTACTGTTGGAGTATAGATAGTAGTCTAGGTTTATTAGGATTTCTTTTCTCTTTTTTACCCTTACTAGATTTTTATATTTTGCCTAAACTACAAGGATGTTTAAGTCACTCTGTATTATTTTTGGCTATAT